TTCGTTTCCCAGATATTTGCAAAAGAAGCATTTAGGGGCCGGCCCTTTAACTCCTTACTGAGGACGTTAATCAAAAAATAAAAGGTTGCATATTGTTCAGAACCTTATTTTGAACATCTTTTGTTCAGTATTGCATATCAAAATATTTCACACTTTTGAGATATATAGCATTAAAGATTTTGCATTTTGGCCCCTTATGACCCCTAATTATGTAACATATAATGTGAATATCATAATATGTGGTTTAAAATCGTTAATATTAACATTTTTGCTTCAGTAATGCATTACAAAATATTGATCGTTAACGAGTTATTGATTAAAGACTTTCGATCCCTCTCGGCCCTTATTTTGAGGGGCCAGCCCCTTTCTCTTCATACCACTTTGAAGCTCTTATGATTTTGAACACTTTTTGTTCAACAACTATTCAGAAATTCTTTTTCGTTTCCAAGATATTAGCAAAAGAAGTATTTAGGGGCCGGCCCTTTAACTCCTTATTGGGGACGTTAAGCAAAAAATAAAAGGTTGCATATTGTTTAGAACATTATTTTGAACATCTTTTGTTCAATATTGCTTATCAAAATATTTCCCACTTTTGAAATATAAAGCGTCAAAGATTTTGCATTCTGGCCCCTAATGGCCCCTAATTATGTAACATATGATGTGAATATTATTATAATAATATATAGTTGTAAATTAATGAGTTAAACATTTTTGCTTCAGTAATGCATTACAAAATTTTGATCGTTAAAGAGCTATTGACGAAAGACCTTCGGCCCCTCTCGGCCCCTAATGTGATGAGTCAGCCCTTTTTCTTTGATATCATATAAAAGACCTTGTAATTCTACACAATTTCTATTCAATATGTTTTTAGAAAATCTCTATAGTTTTAGAGATATGATAAAAAATGTCTCGAAAATTCACTCCTGATTCATGTCCTAAATTTCGACCCCTACCGAGCTTCCATACTAGGTACTTCCGGAAAATTTGAAAACCCAGGTGCAAAACTTCAACATGTCGTCTATAATCGCTGAAAATTTCAGCGCTCTAGCTTTTGCCGTTTTTTAGTTTTTGTGTCGACAAAATGGTTATCTGAAAATCGATTAAAGGGCGATAACTTCCGACCGGAAGTGAATTTTAAGGATTTGAACAAAAAAGGATCATCTTCAGATCAAAAGGCATTACCCCTGAAAATTTCATGAAAATCGATCGAACCGTTTGCAAGATATCTTCTGCACAAAAATTGTAAAGAAAAAGTGGAATAATAATAATAATAATAATAATAAAAGTGAAAAAGAAACAATACAATAATAGAAGGGTCTTCCGTTGGAGACAGAAGACCCTAATAATAGTGAAAAAGAAACAATAGAATAATAGAAGGGTCTTCCGTTGGAGACGGAAGACCCTAATAAGAAACAGAGTAAAAACAATATGTTCCCAAACTTCGTTTGGGGAACATAATAAGAAAAATTGAGTACTTGGTGGACAGAAATGCTTTACTGATATCAATTGAGCTCTCAACATATTTGTTGCCATTTAGATAAAACAAAAGAAGTACATGTACTAATATATGTATCTTGTTGTCAAGTTAACTATTGTAAGATTTCTTATTTCTATGAAGAGGACTCAGTTGTAAAATTTCTCATTATCTAATAGTCAAACTATAACTGTTGTAAGATTTCTCATTTCTATAAAGATGAGCTAACTGTTCTAAAATTTCTCATTTATCTTATAGTCTAATTACTTAAATGTAAAATTTTAATTATCTTGTAGTCAAGTTAATTGTTGTAAGTTTCTCATTTCTATGAAAACTAGCTGCTATAAAATGCTTTGTTATCTTGTAGTCTGACTATCTGTTGTAAGATTTCTTATTATCTTATAGTCAAACTAACTATTTCTCATTTCTATGAAGACTATAAACTTCATGTAACTGCTGTAAGGTATTTTTCATTATTTTGTAGTCAAGCTAAATATATCATTTCTCTGTCAAGACCATGTTGCACACAGAACCTAAACATTTGAGGAATGTGCAAACTTCATTTAGATGAACATTTGCATTTTAAATGAAGCTTTCCTGGAGTGGCTCTTTAAGCCACATGTAACAATTAAGACTATATAACAAAATCGGCATGCCAGCCATGTCTGTAAACCATCATTGTTCTCTTATACTCCCTCAAGTCATGCAGCCATTCTGCAGATCCAAATATTTTTTCACACTACTAAACATGCAAGTGGAATTGAAATTGCCACAGATTCAACAGTTTCCCCTTTCTAGACTAATTGTTATGGCACTTCCACACACCAACTCTCCCTGCTTTCTCCCTATCATGTTCCCAGTACCCACAGGTCAGAGACAAGAACCTGTTAATTTTTCATCAAGGTAGAGAGCATATCTTTTCATGTCATGATAAATAATAAAGATATCAAACAGGACCTACTCTCCTCAAATCAAATAACATCAATTAACAACAGCCTGTATAGCATATCAAATTATCAGTCTGCATAGCATATGGAGAATAAAGTTCAAGGTTACAAATGGCCAACATAACCTCTCATATTGATGTCTCTATAGGCACTTGGAGAAGATAAATCATAACAAATAATCAAACAGGAATCAATCTAATGAATGACTTATCAAAAGAGATGCATGTACTAGACAATATAAATGAACAAATATCTTGCTGATTTGCTACACAAGATACCAATGGACCACAGTGCTTGTCTGAGTCACCTTATTGTGGCAATCAATGTATAGTCTATGATTTAGACAATTTTAATTTTATTTATTTAATGATGGTTGATGTCAATGTTATAAATTGTATCATTGATCTTCTTGCAGAAATTTATATATTTCTGTGTTTAACTCCCACCCTTTATTGTGGTCCATTCCTAACACAGGGGCCAAGATGGGGATGCTTACATTTTAAAACAAATCATGGTCATGTTTAAGAAGAATTTTTTATAGATTTTTCTTTTAAAAATATATTCCCATGTTAAATCTCTATTTTGGATCCATTCATGCTTTCTAGCCCTGGAGCCAAGGTTTGAAGAAGATTGAATTTATAGTTTTCCCTTTTCAGATCCAATGTTTCTTGAGAAAAAAATTATTGAATGGTCCCTCATATTTCTAACTATTTCTTGAACATCTCCTCTTGATGAAGAGATGGCTATTCATTTGAGAATATCTGAATACCATTTATCCAAAGATGCTTTGTGTCAAGTTTGGTTGAAATTGGCCCATGGCTCTGGTGAAGAAATTGAAAATTTGAAAAAGTTTTCAGACACAAGACAAGACAGACAGATTGTCTGAGAGTTAGACATGAAATACTCTTAGATCAGGAAAGTTCATTTGTGTGTTTAGTTCAGGTGAGCTAAAAATTGATTAAAAAGAACTTGTACATCATCTCTTATGCTGAACATACCCATTAAAATGTCCATCTTTTAAAAAAAAAATACTGACAAAAATGACATATTAACTGCTGATTGAACGGACAACATCTGTTAGGTTTTCCTGGTGACAGCCTGTAGGTTGGCTGATCTAAATCAGTTTAGAATGACTGCCAATCAATAATAAACCATATACCTCCAGTAATGAATACTGGAGAACCTCATCTCTCAACTTTAATATCTTGGTGATGTCTTAATCATAGTATCAAAATGGATGTGTAGTATAAGAAAAAAATGCAGGCAACTTTACTGTACATGATCTTACAACTTATAATGCTTTACTCTGTAAAAGCATTCTACTTCTTAATTAAAGCTTCTTTATACAGGGTCATTTGGACTGTTACCGTATCCCATATCCAAAAGTTACAAGAAATGTTTTCATGGGCCTTGACCTTTACTTTTCTGGAGCCACTTTTAATATGTGTTTTTTTGTTTGTTTTTTTCTTGTCTATCTACTCCTTCATAAAACTAACAGCCCTAACACATCTCATCTAATCCAGGGCAAAGATTTAAGGAATTAAAAAAAAATCTTTCCTTCTAACGACTATACAACATGACATCAATGGCAAACTGGATTTAAAATCTAACAGGGACTACTAGTGTAATTTTGGCAAAACAGCAGCATTGGAAAATATCATGTTTTGCTTTCAAATACACATGTAATGGGTTTAGTTTACATTTTTAAAAAATTGAAGTTTTAAGGATTTTCTGAAGTAAATGAAATCTATAATTTGGGACTTGAGTTTCAGAATTTATCAAATAAATATGATTTCCCAAATGACCTACTGTCTTCTAAGCTTTTGTAGGCTTCCAATCTATAAACAGATTTGAAGTGAAAAACTGTTTTTTCTCCCTATTGAACAGTCAACAAGTTAGTCGATATCTATTTTAGCTGAATGATTTATCTCAATTTTGTAATGTTATTTAATAAACCTTGTGAGGTATTATCTTTTTACACACACACAAAAAAAGAAAAACATATTTTAAAATAGAAGTACATATCATCTGATTGGCAACAGTAATTTTGATTATGACCTTGACCTGACCTTCCTCCTAAAACGAGATATAATGTATACCATCACTGAGCGATATTGTCTTCTTGAATCTGTGAAAATTTCATAAATTTTTGTAATACAATAAATATGAAAAAAATTATTTGATGACCCTCCCCCCAAGAAGTAAAAACTGATAAATGATAAAAGAATTAACCAGACACTGTACAAAATAAAACATTAATGTATAAATGTATAGAATGCACAAAATGACATATCATTCGGTCTTATTCAATGCTTGTGTTTGTCCAAAAGATATTGGCAGGAAAATTGTTTCATTCAGAAGTCTGTCAAACAGCATTCACATAAACCCCATGAATGCCTTTTCCTAATCTCTTTCCCAGACTGGCAGAGAGGAAACCTCATTGCCAATCAATTTCACAGCCCATGTAATATGAAATAGTATTTTCTGCATATTTATTTATTTCTTCAAAGCAAGCTTGGCCTCTTAAATCAAAAGGAAACAAATCTATACTTAGAATTGATTGGATCTGGAGAACTTACCAAGCCAATTTCTGTCCAGATAGATGGCCACAAAGGATGGTGGGATAGTAAAATAATCCACAAAGGAGAAGATCTCCAGCCAGAACAAAAGCTTGTCATTGGCCGCCACAAACTAAACAGAAAATTCTTATGTATAGATGTGATATTCTTTGCTATCTTCATTAAGGATTATAAGGCATATCATTTATTTTTGATCACAAAATTTTTTTAATGAACTTGTGAAACACATGCATAACAATTATATGTAGTATTTTTAATCACTTTACAAGTAAAGACTGAAATATTGATATTAATGAGAGTAAAATTCTAAGGTTTTACTCAATGAAAAATAAAATTCTTCAGTTACAGTGAAAAAATATATGCTTGAAGTTGCATATATCAATATTTTGTATTGAACTAATTAAGTGAAATGTGCTCATAGTAAATCTGCAAATTTCTTTGAAGATAACGTGCACTTTTTGTTTTCCAAAGCTTTTAAGAACATTATTTTTAGCACAAAGAAAGAAATAAAAGTGAGTATAATACAATCATACAAGTTTATGTTATTTCCAAAAAAAAAAAAAACTTTGTGGGGGCTGAAATTTCAAAAATAAGTCTAATGCAAACATTTCTCTGTTTATAATATACATTTCTTTAGTACAATGTAGTAGTATACTCTGAAGACAGACATAAATTGACAAACTGATAGTTACCCTGATAAAGAAGTAGATGAGAAAGAAAACATTGAAGGCCAAGTCCACTTGCTGACGGGGACTCTCCGCCCAAGGAGTACAGGACTCAACTTTCTCTCTAGAAAAAAATATATATCTGTGAGTTTTTCCACATTTTATCGTTTCTTGAGGAAATAGATTTAGTAGAAAATAATCAGCTTCAGAAGAAAAAAATGTTTACTTTATTTTATGGATGGATTATAGATATATCTTTTTTTTTTTTAAATCTTCTAGGAAATTAATTCCCTTCATTGTATGCATGTAAAGAAAATTAGTTTTATAGATTTCTGAATTCATAGGCTTACAGAGTTCTCATTCTGCAACTGTACTGCAGACATCAAGATAAATGGTTTTATTATCAATTCCTTTACATTTAATCAATAATTAGCTGAAGCAACACAGAGCTGGCAATCACAATTTGTATTATTTATCAGCATTACATATAGAAGAGGAATTTTCAAACTGTTGATCTACAAAATTAGTAAATTCTTCCTCTGGCCACTTTCCATCTCTGTAGTGCATGTGATTCTGAATGTCCAAAATCTTATAATTTTATTGTGTAAGCAATGTCACACTTACTACATGACCCAAGTTTGGACCTATCTTAGAACGCTCTGACTCTAAAATCTAAACCGACCAGTGTCTCTGTAACATAAGTTTGTTTAAGTCGTGAGACTTAAACATTTACTGCAAATTATTACAGTTCCATTATTACTTTCAAACCTATTATAGATTTGTCTTTTTCACCAAGAAATCCCTGGCCAATTCGTGTCCCTGTAGAAAGTATGATTTTGAGAAGATCTTTACAGCATGTTTATTGTGTACAGTAATCAAAATTGATTACAGAACTAAATTTGACTTTAACATTCCTTAGAAATCAATAGGTATCTTTTTTCTGGTCATCTAGAACCACAGAGAATACTCCGGCCTTCACTACCAGTACTCTAACAATATAGGTCATCATATTGTTACATACTAATTGTTGATTATTAATTTGGAGATTATGAGAATCATATCCATTTCATTTCTTATCTTACCATTCCCATGATAGAGCATGACAAATAATTTACTCAATATTAATTAGTAATTCCAGAACTAGTGATATTAATCTGTTACATAGAAGAGCCACAAAGGGAATTGTATTCCACAGATAAACCAATTAACTACCTAATCAAGTCATAATCATGACATCTACTGTCTAGCTCTTACACAGGACGCACACTGTTTTGTTCTTTCCCTCTCTCTCTTTTATGTTTTGTTTGTTTTTGAAATAGAATATATTTTTTCTGCATTGTTTTGCCATTTTATTTATTTATTTTTTTTTTAGTTATTATCATATAATTATTATTATTATTTATTTACTATAGATATAAACCTCTTCACATTGTTTACAAATCCCTTGTAATTTGTATTCAAGGAATCTATAGTGTGCATCTCATTTGTATAGCTAAAAAAAAATAATCAGTTTCAATATTGCCCATACTACATTGTATTGGAAATTGTCCAATTAATAAAATTACATTCTGACTGCAAAATTTAATTAATAACATTTCACTGAAATCTCTATTTCATTCCAATATCAATATCAAATCAAATATTGCACCACTGTGCAGTGGTGATGTGCACATAAATTTGCAAAAAGACTAGGTAACAGATCTTCCTTTTAGAAGAATTCTGTATCATATGGCTCAGGATTGATCTAGAAACTGTAAAAGGGGGATGCAAACATCTTACCCTACAAAAAAAGAATTTGACAAGCAAAAATATGAAGGATAATAGGGCATCCAAAGACCTGGCCAATATAAAAATTAAAAAAGATATTTTGGAATTGAGGGTTGGTATCAAAGACAAAGAATCAAAAGCAATGCAGAACAAATGCTTTTTTTTTACTGAGATTCAGGGATTCAGGGATGAGGGACTATCTTTAAATCACCATCATATACCCTTTGCTTTGAAAGAATCAAAAGCCTGAAAGGCTTCAATGACGTCGAACAAGAAAAATAATTTCAAAAGAATCTTAAGATAGCAATAGGTTGAGTGAGTGACTCAGGTGACATACTAATAATAATAAAAAAAAAAATAGTTTTAAACAAAATGTCACAATTACAGTCTGGGGCCTCATGTCATGGTCCGAATGGAGCAGGGTTCGAATTGACCAGACACCGTCGAACATGTTCATGCTAAATATCAAACTAATATCTTTTCAGTCAATTGAAGAACTATGAAGGACTTCATGAATTTATATATTATTCTTTCTAATTGCCAATGTCAAAGCGTTGTTTTAGTGATTGCATCTAAACTACAACCATGACTCTGCTCTGTTACAAGTACGATCGAGTTACGATAGACTGGTATTGCCTGTCTAAATCGTTCGTATATCGTGCATATCAGACAGGCAAGCCAGTCTAGAGTTACGATAGGGTGTGGTATATTGGAGGAAATGGAGAAATACAGTAATACTGGTCAACATCATCGGTTTTTAGGATAAAGTTGGTCAGAAGATTGTAAAAGTAACGCTAAGATTTAGAAATTCAATCTTTTCAGTCTTATAGTATTCGTGTTTATGTAATTTTGTAATTATTTTACCGCCTGTTGGGTTGTTTGTGTTCCACGGTTATCGTTCCAAAATGTTATTCATGTCATTCGACGCACCTTTCTGTAGAAATTCATCCGCAACAACCATCACGTTTTTATTGTGAAAATAATACATAATATCGTTTTTTTGTTAAAGAATTAATTGTAGATACAATTGATGCAATTTTATTTTCAAGCTATAATTATTCATTGTGAGCGTTTTAAAAGAAATTGGTTTATAGCTATTGCTATTTTCTATTGCGGATGCATCCACTGACACATTCGGTCGCGTACATCCCTTGGCGATTTCACTTGGCCGATCGCTAGATGACGTTCGAGCTCCAAGAGCTCGACGTCATAAAAATGAGACACCCCCCAACCCCCCATCTGCCTCTATGATTTAAATTGACCTTTTGTGTTTCATATACAAATATTTTAGATAATTAGATCTGGCATAAACTCTTAATTTACTTATAAAATGTAATTTTCTATATACATCTTGCTTTATATAACTATTCAAAATAGCTTGATTAAGGAGGGCCAACTTTGGATTTTTGTAAAACTCCATGTGTAACCTACACTGACTCTACTGTAAATACAAAAGTTCATATAAAAATCTACCTTTTTGGTATTTTGGGGGATGATCTCAAATAAAAGTACAACAGGATTGCATAGGGAATTCCTTTTTTTTCTTTTTTCTTTTTTACGTATAATGCATTTCAAAAAAAAAAAATTAAAAAAATGTGATGAATACTATTTTGTACATAATATGTGAGAAGCACAAAATTCTATCATCTGGTTTTTCAAAAGGAAGCATCAGAAAATGTCCTATTTTTATGGAGTTCTACAAATCATGAAAGATTCTAAGCATTAATTCACACAAGAAATAACCCAAAAATGATAATAATAACTCTGAGATAAATATATTAAAAACTAAGTTTTAAATTTTAATGATTTTATAATTTTTCTCCTTAAGAAATTTAGTTAACCATAAATCCTATAACAGACAGTGAAGATTTACACCCAACTAGCAATGGGAAAATCATTAAAAAATTTCTTTAATAAATTCACTCCCCCCCCCCCCCCCCCTTCCTCATATTTCTTAATACTATTATTTTATTATTTAAAACATATTTTATTGAAACATAATCAATAGGATTTAACACAAGTTTTACCAACTTAGAATTGTCCTCTCCAACACAAACAAAATGACATATACATATGCACGTGATGTACAACCAACAAATGTACAATACAAAAAAAGTGCAAGGAAATAAGAAAAGAGTGGGGGGGGGGGGGGCGCAGAAAGAAAGAAAGGAAAGGGGTTGTAATAGATACAGAATGGTTACGCTGGTTATTCATAAAAATCTTTTCGATTTTTTAATATATTTGTGTACGGCTTTAACTATGTTCATATTATTTTGTTGTCCCAAGTTTGAGTCCCCAAATAGAATTGTGTCAAGGTCTATTGTTCCTTTGTTATTTCTTATAGTGTCTTAATACTATTCCATGTGATAAATGATATTAAAATAATTTCTTTAAAATGTATACTATACAATAACAAGAGGCCCAGGGGCCACATCGCTCACCTGAGCACTGTGGCTGCGAAAAAAGCAAAAATCAGTTTAGTATTGCAATGCTTAAATGCATAAGTGGTCCCGATCTAACCCTAAAAGGGAGGAGGCTAGGGGGTATGATTTCAACAAAATTGAATCTACACTAACTAAGGATGCTTACACATTTTTTTTGACTAACTGTGATTTTTCCCTATTCAAGTTTAAACTTTCATTGTGGCCCTACCTACCCCCGGGGGTCATGATTTGAACAAACTTGAATCAACACTATCTTAGGATGCTTCCATATAAATATGACCAATCAAGACTTTGCTGTTCTTGAGAAGAAGATTTTTAAAGATTTTCCCTAAATATTCCTATGTAAAACTTTGATTGCGGACTGTGGCCCCACCCTACCCCCAGGGGTTATGATTTGAACAAAATTGAATCAACACTACATGAGGATGCTTCCATAAATATATGACCAATATTGGCTTTGTTGTTCTTGAGAAGAAGATTTTTAAAGATTTTCCCCATGTATTCCTATGTAAAACTTTGATCGCCCTCTGTGGCCCCACCCTACTCCCGGGAGTCATGATTTGAACAAACTTGAATCAACACTATCTGAGGATGCTTCCATATAAATATGACCAATCAGGACTTTGCTGTTCTTGAGAAGAAGATATTTAAAAATTTTCTCTATGTATTCCTATGTAAAACTTTGATCGCCCACTGTGGCCCCACCCTACCCCGGGGGTCATGATTTGAACAAACTTGAATCAACACTACCTGAGGATGCTTCCACATAAATATGACCAATCTTGGCTTAGTTGTTCTTGAGAAGAAGGTTTTTAAATATTTTCTCATGTATTCCTATGTAAAACTTTGATCGCCCAATGTGGCCCCACCCTACCCCCGGGGGTCATGATTTGAACAAAATTGAATCAACACTATCTGAGGATGCTTCTGTATAAATATGACCAATCAAGACTTTGCTGTTCTTGAGAAGAAGATTTTTAAAGATTTTTCCTATGTATTCCCATGTAAAACTTTGATAGCCCAATGTGGCCCCACCCTACCCCTGGGGGTCATGATTTGAACAAACTTGAATCTACACTACCTGAGGATGCTTCCACATAAGTTTCAAACTTTCTAACACAGTGGTTCTTGAGAAGAAGATTTTTGAAAGATGCCATAAATTTTTCATGAATTCACAATTATCTCCCCTTGAAAGAAGGCGATGCCCTTCATTTGAACAAACTTGAATCCCCTTCATCCAAGGATACTCTGTGCCAAGTTTGGTTGAAATTGGCCCAGTGGTTCTGGAGAAGAAGATGAAATTGTGAAAAGTTTACGACAACGACGACAACGCCAACGACGACAGACAACGGACAAATTTTGATCAGAAAAGCTCACTTGAGCCTTTGGGTCAGGTGAGCTAAAAAACAAATTCATTATAATTTTCTATGGAAGTGCTTTTTTCCAAAATGTACACACAAAAAAAAGATGCAGTTTGTGTGCCATTTGGTAATGTAAAAGTTTGCCATTATAAATATACTGTTTGTAATACAATGCAATAAACAATGATTTTTTTTTAATGCATAGCACTGAATTAAATTAAATTCAACATTCAAAGTTCTAAAACTGGTTTGGGGCTATATAACACAATTGGTCTGTGACCTAACAGATATTTTTGAATGAAATCGTGCAGGTGTATGTAATGGTCATATTTTCAAGTCAATGGGAAAATTGGTTCCTATTTAAATAATTCAATACTTTGAGAAGAACTGTAATTGATCCATGCCTCATTGAACACATGGTAGTGAAAAGTTATCCTAAAATTGTTCAAAGCTACAAATGCATGTATTTAAAAAAATCTTTGATTTGGATTATATATTTTTGAAAAACTAATAATAATGGTACAGCAACTCAATTTTGCATGAAATGCATAATTTTGAGGGGGAAATGTAATCTAAATAGCTTAAAACATTTTAAAATCACATCACTTAATAATCAAGAGACTTTGCTGGATGCTTGAGGACAGTGACTCTAACATTGTATGAAAGCTGCAAATATGAAAACCCCCTTCCCCATTATAAACATTTGGGCATGTTTATCATGTATAAAATATCTTCCAATGACCTGATGACATAATGATTTGTATTCATTGTAATTTAATCTATACAATTAAATCGATAGGTTACCTAAAACTAACGCTTTAGAAAAATTTCTACCCCACTCTACATGTATGTAATACTGGTATTGCAGTACTTAAAAGAAATTGAAATTTTATTTTTCAACGGAATTTGGGTATTTGTGGTTAATTGCTGACATATTACATATAGAATTAAAATTCCACGTTTTTTTCTGGATTTTATTTTATTATTTGTCCATATACATGTATTACTAAATAAAACTCCAAAAATGTTTGAAAGTTCCGTAGATAAATATACCACAATAAAATGGAACCCGCAATATAATAAGAATGGAGACAGGAGGGTATACTTACTCTGAGGCATCTATGAAGTAAATGATGAGGGAGGCAATGCTAAGCAGGAAAACCAAACCGACCTGAAAAATAGAACAGAAAATTTTTGTTAGAGATACTTTACATATCTTTGAGTTCGTTGAAAAGTGTACCAATCAGGTTTCAAATACATATAGGATACTGGCTTTCTGTCAATAAATATTTGGCTTTCGTATTTTACCGCCGCAACCGGAAATCCCGAACATCTGAAAACAATACAAAGTAATTACGTACTGATCTCATCATTCCGGATTCCAGAGATCATGTTTTGCTGATTCCAGAGATCATGTTGAGGAGGGTTTAAATCGCCGGTACAAATATTTGTGTGTAAGTGTGTGTGTGTGAGGGAGGGTGAGGGTGTGTGTGTGTGTGTAAATTTAGAAGTGGTGTAACTACCATTATGTTACAACGTACAATGATCAAACACACAAACCTGTCAGATTAAAAAATCGTATGGATGATTTTTTCCCCTCCTTTGGTTAAATCATGCAGATAAGTTTGTTATGTCTCTCGTTAAATTTTAATGTAAATTTTAGCAATCTGATGATAAATCTGATTTAATATTGAAGCATATCTAATGATCAAAAGTGCTGACCTCTATCGACCACAAGTGCTGGAGGACAGGAAACACCCCCCTCCCAGATATAGACCCCCGGACCGTTTCGACTTCGACTTTTTTCTCAGAATTATTTTTCAGTGTAATATTTGATATAAAGTGGTATAATCTATACCATCAATTCAGTCGAAAAATGACCTTAAACAAACAATTTATAAAAATTTCTACCCTCTCTATACATATAATTCTACATATATAGAGTGGAAAGGGGTGCACGTGTGTGCAATTAATCATGAAATTATGCATAACTATATTGACATTAAATAAAAAATAAATTCGGTGTCTGTCCGCACCGGGTAAGGTAATAATAGTAACCGTGTATTTATGGTGTTATAAATACTAATGATGCATGATTTTATTAAATTGTGCAAGAAAAATTCCACTTCAGAAATAAATCCGCTTAATGCGTTAATCTGTTCAGGTTAATTCCTTATGTCTGTGCTGCATGCATGTTCACTGTAAATATTAAACGTACATTTCATATCTGTTTGCTAAAACCGAAGGCTAAACTGAAAAGTTCTCTTTCTGCGACACATTAAAACCCCCCTCCCGGCCGGTATTCGGGGGGGGGGGGGTGCTCCCTAAGGATGTAATTTTCACAATTATATAGATCGATGTAATATATATACCAACTTATGGTTTTATATATATACTAAACGAGTTTTACTGTTTATATATATATATATATATATATATATATATATATATATATATATATATATATATATATATATATATATATATATATATATATATATATATACAATATATATGTATGTATGTATGTATGTATATATGCATAGCTTGTGAGGTTACAATCTGAACGACAAACTAATTAAGAAAGTCAATTGATAATTCGTCTGGCTGGGGTCAGGAAAATGACATCCCAATCATGTGCGGTCTCCTAGAATCGATATCCGGATTATTGGAAATCATCCGTGGTGATTGTTTCTTAATGATTGAATCGATGCTGGTGATTGATCCCGAATTATCCTCGTCAACGCACAACAATAGGGTTCTATTATCTGACGGCACTTTATGGACCCGTCACTTTGTAAACGATCATCTGTGCCATATTATTGCTAGGTTAAAATAATGGATAATATGCATCAAATGTTCGTATAATATTGACAAAAATGAAGGTAGTGTCGAAGACTCTATATGTGTTTGTAGCTATCATAACATAGAGAGAATGGTACGCCAAGACAGCTAATGCCAGGAATATCACCTTTCACACACATCATTGTGTAAAACGGCATCGGTTATACTGCTTATAAACAATATAAGTGGGGGCATGGTGTGATAAATTGCACTCTTAATTGACTCCAGATATTTACATTGCAAGTGCTTATAGTTATACGAGTTTCATGCTGTATATACATGTTCTATTTCTACAGACTATTAAGCAAACGACTTGATTCATAGGAATGTTTGAAAATGCCCAGGTTCTGGTCCTGACTTACCAATATCCTCCCTGTAGTGGTTTGTCCCGAGATGAGTTCCCCCGCCCAGTCTTTAGCCTCCGTTATATATCCTATTTCAGAATCTGGACTCTTCTGTAGCGTGGTACCAGTATTTGATGTAGCGTTAATATTGTTCGCGGATCCTTTCCCTTTTGATGGCGGATTGACAGTACCAGAATGATTGGCCACTTTGGGGGAGGCCCCATGGGGTGGAGATGGCGGGTTCGAAGCCCGTCGACAACATAACCAGAGGATAAGGCGATAAAATAAGATGAAGGCTATACCGGCAAAGAAAACGATGAGACTAGACGCTAGGAATGAATACCAATATCGTGTCTCTAGACACGGGTCACCTGTAGTACTGTTCGTCATTTTGTCTTCGTCACTATTTAGCAATAAAAATCACATCACGGATTTTAGAAACAAAAAACACACAGAATTACATAAAAATCACGCCATAATTTCACAGTACTCGGCTTTTCGATTCAGAAATCAATTTACATAAACTAAACATTCGACGCTTTAAAAAATGACACAGGGCTTATCACCATTTAAATGAATTGTTCATATGTTCATTATCCGTCAGCCCATTACGGCCCTGTTGTAAAGTACAAGAACACAAGCGATTTAAGTACGAGATCCATACATACACTAGTAAATTCACTTTGTCACCAACAGTAACCCAGCTGCAGAGGCTGATGTATCGTGTTGATCACATGACTAGACATACAAGCCGTCTATTGTTTCACCTGGCTGGCCATGGCTGTAAGTGGCACTTAGCTGTTTTGTTACAGGAGCACGAGAGGCAGTTGCTACGGAATTTTTACATACACAATGATCGTTTCAGTTGTGTGTCGTCGCCGAGCGCGCAGTCGTTTTCCCCTCCTCTGGCTTCTTCGCATGTAACTCGCTGTATACATGTATTGATTTACGTAAACAGTTCGATATATAAATCGCGTTTTCAAGCCTTCTTATTTAATTCCAAATATTCCTCACGAAATTTGCGTGAACAAGAAAATTGTACCAATTATTCTTCCCTCATTTGTCGGGGGTGTTTGATTACCCTCGCTGCATGCCAATAACCACATGCGAAGTCGGGATAAGAGGAACCACAACATTCACTAAGTCATTGTTTATGATTTACAGTACCTGTCTATTTGCAGACTTTCTTTGGAATGTTTTGTTATGCGTTGTTGGCGAACCTATTATCGAGAAGTTTAAAAACGAGTAAATATTTATTACACAGAGTTACTGCATGAGCTAGCTACTTAACGCTACTATGATTTGTATGTTAATTAAGAAATTATATTCACAGAATTTTCTTTTGTTGTTTGATACACAAATGTTAGAATAACTCAATTCTCGGACAGAAGGGGCTCTAATAAGCTTAAATAATAGATTAGGGATACAATGCAGGACATTTAAACATGGAACCTTTGTCCAAATCACAGTTGTCATTTTTCTTCTCTATAGCCTTTTACTTTTACGGGTGCTCTTTAAAAAGCACAGAATACTATTGTAAATAGGAAATAACAACAAAAAACGTTAACCTGAGTTATTGGACAGTAAAAGCTCACCCTGGTTTCCTTGTATCCTAGAACGAATATATATAGGAAATAGTTATGTAGACATGGATATTAACAAGATCCTGTATCTAAGGTTCCGGTTTAATTTTTTTCTTTCAATTTTCATTGCTCTAAAAAAATGCATCGTCCGCTTTATTTGGGTGGGTAATATAAAGGAGAAGGCGTGTTGAGCTATTTCAGTAGCATACGAATAAACAAATCTTTTCAAATGGAGAAGATTGAATAAAAAAATGTATATAGAACGTGACATTAAGTTCGATACTGTTTACATAAGACTGTCAAACTAGTTTCCGAATTATACATTTTCCCATCCCTCGAATGATTTTAAACTGTTGTGATCCATCTCATTTCAGAAAAAAAGTTTTTCATTTCATCATCCTTATTTAATCAATACAACTATACGGGAAAACCATTTTTTATGAAAACAAAAAAAAAATAATGTGTAACGAGTATCGGTCTTTATTTTGAATAATATTTTTTTGAAATATATTTTGTACGTGTTGTACAGAAATTGAAAAAAATATATATAACCTTGAAACGTTTAAATTATCTGCCTCCCCCCCCCCCCCCCCCCCCCTGTGGTAAAGAGAACCACTTCGATCTTGTAAATAGAAAGACACTATAAAGGGAAACTAACAAGAATTTTAAATACGATTAATGGAGTTATCTTCCTTTGTCAGTTTTGTAGCTACAAGTAAGTCTTTCCGTCTACCCCTATCAAACTTTATGTCCTATAGCATATACCCTTTCAACAACATTATAGTTTTTTGTGATTTATAAATCTTCTGTGAAGCAACACTAGTGATGACGTCACAATAGTCAATATAAACTCTGTAATTGTGACATCATAATGAGCATGACGTAACAATACCTTTTATTCACCTTTATTCACTCAAAACCAGATCACTGGTACAGGAGGTACATATACACATATATACAAACAAAAATTACAGTCAAGGGTAAAAAGATAGATAAGTATATAAAGAAAAAAGAAAAGAAAGTAAACATATAATATAGCCTTTTGATTCGATACATAGTCTTTCGTGATGGTCGTGATCGATCGGAGGTCTGTATATCTGGGGATTGACCTCTTCAAAAGGCTATATACATATTTGTATTATATTTTCTAAAATTTAATTAAAATCTTCAAATATTTTACATTAAGATTTCTTGCCAACAGACAAAAGAACGGCAATCCATATAAAAGTAAAAACGTAACCCTTTCCATCTTTGTTGGCCTGGGATAAAATTGCATGAAAAAATGTTTTATTATTCTTATTACACACGATCCGTGTAGAGCTATCATGTCTTCGGGAAGACAGCAACTAAAAGTGAAAAAAAAATTCTGTAGAACCGAGGAGGTGGGTGCGAGCCCCCCCCCCCCCCCGCTTTCGCGAAAGCGAAGGGACTTTAAATCTCATTCGTCAGTCTGTTTGTCAGTCTGTCACAAAAAACTTTAAGCTTGGTCATAACTTTTGAACGAGAAGAGATTGGGCTTTCATATTTCACATGTACATTACCTGTGACAAGTCCTTTCCAAATATACACATGTACTATGATATTAAATCCCATGACCTTGAAGTTTGACCTACTTTTCAAAAATTTGATATTACATTAAATTGGTCATAACTTTTGAATGAGAAAAGATAAGGCTTTCATATAATACATGTATTTTACCTGTGAAGATCTTTCCAAATATACTATGATTTTTTACCCCGTGACCTTGAAGTATTTTTTGTACCTTGACCTACTTTTCAAATATTTTGTCTTTGTTTATAACTTTTAAGTGAGAAGAGGTAGGACTTTTATATTTGACAAGGGCATTACCTGTGAAAATACCTTTCTAAATAGTCTATGACTTTTTACCCTTTGACCTTTAATTTCCACCTACCTTTCAAAAATTTTAACAATACTTTGAATTGGCCATAACATTTGAATGAGAAAAGTGACCTTGACATTTGACTACTTTTGAATGAGAATAGATAGGGCTTTCATATTTGACATGTGCATTACCTGTGACAAGGTGTTTCCGAGAATGCTATAATTTTGACCCCTTGACGTTGACCACATATTTGACCTAATTCTCAAAAATTTTTAACTTTGGTGATTATTTTTGAACGACGTTCATATTTGAAAAGTGTGTTACCTGTGTCAAAATGTTTCCAAATGTGCTGTGATATTTGACACCGTGACCTTGACCTTCAAGTTTAACCTAAACATTTGAACAGTGATGTTCGTCTCTTAGTCTGCCTGTCACAAAAACTATAACCTTGGTCATTACTTTTGAACGAGAAGAGATAGGACATTCATATTTGACAGGTGCATTACCTGACACGCATTTCCAAATGTATTCCGAATATCAACCTTATGACCTTGAAGTTGGACCTAATTTTCAAAAATTTTAACATTGCTGATAACTTTTGATTGAGAGAAGATATGGCATTACATTTGACATGTGCATTACCTGTTTCAAGACTTTTTTGAATGTATACTCTAGTTTTGATATATATAATTATATTTTTTTTCTTACTTGTACATTACTTGTGACAAGACCTTTCGGATTGTTTTATGACCTTTGACCTCCTGACCTTGATCTTGAAGTTTGATGTAGTATTGAGAATATCTTTGCCATCACTGTTTATAATTCAATATTTTTTTTATAATGCACAGACAAGACAGAACACACCAACAAGACAGTTACAATATGCCATAAATAATGACATTCCATCCGCTAAGACACCGAAAGCAGGGGACCACACTTCTTTGAATTTGCATTTTTGATATGTAGCAAACTACAGAAATAAAAGCTACTGTATGGATGGCATCTGAAGACATAGCTGACGACCTTTTATTCTTGCTTGTCAACAAGTTTTTGCGCCCCCTTCAACTGAAAATATTTGGTTGTGCCCCCCCTTCCCCCTGAAACTGTGAAATTGCATCCTATGGATCTTGGAAAAAATGAGAATAAAGCCTATAAGAGAATTTATTAGTAAACAAGTTAAACTTCACAACCTCTGCGCCGAGGTGATATCACCGGTACGTTTGAACGACCAAGACAAGCACACTCTTTGTTTCAATACATGCGGGAGAAAAAATACATGTATGTGTACAGACGCGCGTCGACATTATATCTCTCTAACGAGACTGTAGTTCTGCAGTCTTTACTTTTTAACCTGAATTTGAAACACTTTTTTTGTTTTGCATTTAACTTTGATATCACTATGGTTATTGGCAATGTTTCACCTAATGCAACCATTACTTGTTATAATCATGATTATATTATTGTTTTAATTGTACATCCCCCCCCCCCAAGGGCCGTTGATTGGTGAATAAACATAATAATATATACATCGTGTCTTTAAGCTCTTCTTTATGCACAGTAAACTCAAAAGTAGTCGTTCGTAAAAAAAAATCTGAATAAAACTTTTTAAAGTATGATATTTAAAAGCGTAAAATTGATTTTATAATGGCAAAATAATGTAATTTAGTGATAAAAAGCGATAAGAATCTGTCAAATGCAGAAGGGAAAGCAGGCCTGTGAAATCAAACCAAAATTGTGGGAGGAGCAGCATCTGAAATATTTTTCTACTTCTATTTTCTGTAGACATGGCAACGTCATTTACCAGATCTTGGACTGATTAATTCAGTGATGCCTGGTTGTATCCCAGGTTTATTGAAATCTGACCGAAGCTGTAGGACGAGTAGCATTCTTTTTTTTCAATTGTAGGAATTAAGGCTGGACTGAGGACATCGGCCTGGATAGCTCAGTATCCCGGGTTCGATTCCCGGCCACATGTTATTTTCAGTATATATGTATTTATGAACTTTCAATGTTTAGTCATTCCTCCTTTCCATACTACAGATGGTGCCGTGGCCTACCTTGTTCATGCAATATAATATATAATTAATGTGAAGTCCTGACAAGGTGAACTTGTGTTGTGTCTCCAGGGGCGAAGACTATTTAAGGAGGGGGATATGTAGGAATTTAGGCTGGAGTGAGGACATCGGCCTGGATAGCTCAGTGATTAGAGCACCTGACTAGTAATGCAGGGGTCCCAGGTTCGATTCCCGGTCCAGCCACATGTTTTTCAATATATATGTCTTTATGAATTTTCAATGTTTCTCATTCCTCCTTTCCATACTACACAATATTGAGATACCTGCATTAAATGAGCATGTTTATTATTCGATTGTATGAATATTTATTATCACGACCTGGAATAGCAACGTGACACCGCTTCGATAAATAGATATATAAAACATATGTTGATTTACAATCAGCAATACATGTACATGTATATCTAACTTCAGAGGTCCTAATAACATACATATGTATTGAAATTAAAACTTGTGGATTTTTTTTTAATTTGGGTTTGGGTCTTATCCACATTCTCACAAACATAATCACATGTACAGTAATTAATTCTTTTATTACATGTAAAATCAATGCCTAAGACATAGCACAAAGAATGAATCTAGGTTCATATAAATCTAATTCCTCAATCAACCTCCTTAACCTACTAGTGTATATGTATTTATACCAAAATACAAAGAAAAAAGATAAAAGGGATGGTAAGTTCTACACCAAGAACCTTAAAGTTAAGATCACTTATCATGAATAAAGCACATAATGACAGAAAAGTACAGTGAAATCGGCCTTTGTTACAGCTGATGAGTTTATTTACTTGAGGAAATCTGTTGGATGTTATCAGCTGTTGTATTGTGTACTAGACAGCTGTTCAGCAAACATAAGCATGAGTATAGACAGCACACACTGTGGTACATGTCTCATACTCTCAACAAGGATCAATGTCTTCTCAATCTGTAAGAAATCTGCTTTAAGTGTGATTCACAGTAATGTAATATATATTTTGTATGCTTCATACCATGCTTTAACAAGAAGGAAAAGTCCCATACAACTCTAAGAAAATTGATATGGATGTACATGTACACCTGCATCACTAGATTAGTGAAGTAAAAATATAATAAGCATCATTGATATCCTTTGGTCAGTAATGGTGAATATTTGTAACATTTTGAAGACAAGCACCAATAGATATTAACATTCTAAAAGCAGCACTATTATTCCCAATCCAATCTTCTCGAACTTTTCAGCAAGCTCAGAAAAACACATTGAATGTATTTACATCACTGGTCATTAAAAATTTTAAGCAAAATGGAGTTGCTTCCTATTTATCAAAGTACTGGATAGACAGAGGTGAGTGTCCTTTCTGTAGTATATATTAGGTAATATTTTTACATTCAATGAAGTTAAGCTCCAGACTCTACAGATAAGAGGTCTCCCTACATTTATTTCAACGTTTATGAAAAGAAGGATTAAGGTGGATGCCTACATAACACATTCAAGGTTATTTTTCCACTAAAAGGCCAGAGAAGTTGTGAGTGCATCATTCCACTGCTGTGGTAGCTTATCCAATCCCCCCCTCAAAAAAAACCCAGGCTTTTTGTGGTCAATTCACTTAAGAACCCTCTCTACACTGCACACTAAAGAGTTCTGATTCTATTGTATTTTTATGAAGTTAGAGTGATCTGCCCTTAGATCTAAATTCCAATAAATGGAAATTTACAGTATATTACTCAATTTGTAATCAATTCAAGTATTCTTATCATTTCAAAAGGTCAAGATAAATTAACTGAACATGTTATTTACATGTATTTTGTTCATGGAAGAAAACAACAGTGATTTTTGTTCTCTGATACTGTGTTGTGTTTTAACATTTTTCTTTGGGGTAAATGCCAAGATAAGATCAAACTTTACACTAGTTATTCAATATAATATTCTTGATGTCCAAAAAGCATTTTGCAATGGTGTAGAGAGGGTCCTAAAATACTGATAATCCTCCAACTCTTTCCTTTTTTTAATTCTTTATTTTTTTCTTTTTAATGACTAAATTTGTTATGCTATTTTCTCTCTTTCTGTAAATTAATAATGATTAAATTAATGTTAAAATTGTGAAATATTCTTTACTGCAATTGAGTGCATTTCAGAATTAGTAAACAAAGATTACAGTCAGATTGAGTTTTCGTACATGCATGTATATGATTTCTTGGAAATGCCACTACATTTTTCACTGAGGACCGATTTTTTTTTTCTTGGGCAGTCTGACCTGGTGGTTACTCATGTAAAGGTTGAAAAATAAATCCCCGTTTAACACAACTAAGATAGCAATTCTTACATAGTCTGTCTTTGATCTATAGAACAAAACCATGCTTTCCCTGCCATTTTATATAAGATTGTAAATTTGACTTTGCTTCTCTGGACATAAGGGTTTGTTTAACTATTTCCACTTGAGTGTACTACCCCTTTAAATTTCTGACACAAAAAATAAATTTCTCTGGAATCGTCTCGACTCGCTTTTGGTTTGACAAGTTTTACTGAGGAAAATAGTTCCTTCATTACATCACTGAGTTCATCACATCCACTCCCCTGCCAAAGTTTCACCAGAACTGTACCATTAGTCACCAACTGATTCACAGAGAAATGTAAAACTTTTGACACCAATGACATAAGAAGTCTTCCATCAAACTCCTTCATACCTGATGCATTGGGAGCCATATCACTAAGTACCACATCTGCCTTTCTGCCGTCAGCATTCTGGATGATTTTATCCTGACAGTCTTGAGATGTGAAGTCAGTACAGTCTAGGATGCAAGCTCCTGGAATTTTACTGATAGGCAACAAATCTATGCTGATCACTTTTCCTTTGGGGGAGTTGTTATCTGTATTGATAATATGTATAATTGTTAAAATTATTTTTTTAATTCAAAAGTAGCATAAATCTTTTAACAGAATGAGGGTAAGTTTGAGAGTTTTCTTAGACAGCTGTTAGATAGGACCCAACAGGCATGACAAACATACATGCATTATAAGTGGACTGACTGCAAATTAACCGTTTTACTGCACATCGTTTTTCTATTGAAAATATAAGGCTTTATGACATATTATTAAAAATTATTATTAGATTTTTTTCATCCATAAACATGATAAAACTCAGCTATAACTTATAATTACAAAAAGAGAAATCACAGTTGTATTCCTGTAGTAAGATACAAAAAATATCATACCTAAGCCTGCTGCATTTGTTCTTTGACAGACTACCTGTGTCCAAGATCCAGGGGCAGCCCCAATATCTATAACGAGTTGTCCAGGTCTAAGAATTCTATACTTATCATCTATTTCTAAAAGTTTAAATGCACTTCTACATCGCCAATTTTCCGCTCTTGCCATTTTTACGTATATGTCACTTTGTTGTCGTTGAAGCCATTTTCGTGAACTTGTCCCTTTCATTCTACATCCAAAGTTCTGCGAGCATAATCGATAAAGCCTTCGATATTTTGTTGTGTTCATGATCAGCGGCCATTTATTTCAGGAAATCCCCTTTCTCAAAATAAACATGTACATTACAGGAACGCAAGCATTTTATGCATTGCTAATTTCAATTGCAAGCTTCCTAAAATTAAATAAAAACAAAACTTTTTTTTTTAATTATTCGCTTTTCTTCATTGTATAAATAAATTCATTATTTCTCCTGGAACAAATATTGTGTCGTTTCATCATTTCGAGGGATAAGTGTATTTCTAGTAACCCGAAAGGACCAGGTCCCCTCAATCGAGTCTTCTCGGGTCTTTCGGCAAGCTCAGTAAAACACCTCGAGGTTGTATCCGCTTGTCGGAAAGGCCCGAGAAGTTGCGATTGCCCCTTAAAATCAGTATTTTTGACGAAGATGGAACAATTTGTATTATAAGTCTCCGGAAAATCAGGAGAATCAGCGGCAGATTCAGGAATTTCATAACGGGGGGGGGGGGGGTAGTATCATTTTATCAATTTATGTACTAAACTGAAGGTAAATGCTTGCTATACAAACAAAATTAAAAAAAAAATCAAACCGGGGGGGGGGGGGGCACCTGCGCTGGATCCGCCTTTGAGAATATGGATCACAACACTCATGTAACATATTTTATGAGAAATAATAACGTATAATTGCAAGTCAATCATTATTTAAGGGTCAGTTGGTTCAATCAATTGGAATTCACCTCTCTCTCTTTCTCTCTCTCTCTCTCTCATCACCTCCTTCTAGACTACCTAGTAAAAAAAAAAACTTTTATCACTTTATATTTACATTCACTAAATATTTTCTCTTTTATTTCTAAAGAAAACCATTGCCGTTTATCAGTTCGTGGACAACACTAGGCATTTCACCTTGACAGATTTCTTGATCAGTGGCTGTTCCATCAATGAAACGTACAATGACGTACATATATCAATAATACAATAATTAATCTTTTTTATCCTACTTTAATGCCACCCTCCTGTGATGTCATAGGTTTAAGCAAAAAAAGTTATTAATTTAAATTCATACCCAATAGAAAAATATCTTTCGAAAGAATGTTTTTCAGTGGGTGTAATGAAAAATATTGTAAAGTAAAAGAGTTAAAAAATTGAATATTTTCCTTATTTAATCAATTATTTAATCCTTAAAAAATGTTGCTAAGGGCAGTAACTCCTGCTGATGTATCTTCATTCAGGCATTTTCTACATTGTACTTCAAATGTAAAATGGTTTCCCTGATGTTCACAGTTCAAACATTTTTATAAAGTTACAATAGTTTTGGAACTTTCAGCATCAGAATTATGTATTTGAACCAGTTTTTACATAATTTTTATAATACTGTTTACTAAAATGTACATTTTTTATGCTGACATTTATTTCTTGATTATGTATGTCTTACGTCTTAAAAAATGTGGCAACATATACAGTTTTGGTGATTATTAATTAATTTAAACTATATTCAGTGAAAATAAATGCAGTTTTTCTATTTTGAACCCATAAATTCTTGATGGTGGAAATACCTTAAATGATTATTTATACAGATATAAATATAAACAATAAAATGTCTTTCTTTGGTTGTCAGTACGGGAATTAAAGTCCCAGCTATTGCAGGAAAAAAATTACATAACCGCGGGTTACATTACGCGGGTTGTGTATTTTTAATTTCTGCAACAGCTGCGACATTAATTCCCGTACTAACAACCAAAGAAAGCATTTTATTGTTTAAATTAACACGAGAGAGTCAGGTTTAATATTTTCCTTCCAAAGATGATCGAGTGAATTTCAAATTAACTCAGGCAATTATATCGGGAGGGGAGGGGGGTCCAAACGTAACCTTTTAATTTTGAAAATGTTCATTGAGAGGTCGGTTGCCCCCCCCCCCTTTTTTTGTTGCAGTATCGTCCCATGTTAATGTATTCATTCATATTTAGATAGATATCTTGTCGACGTTTTATCAATTAACAATATTTATTCCCCTAAACTCAAAATAGTACTAAAAGACAGAGTCTGACACACCTGTTTCATATTTAGATTTTTTTTTTTACTAAAGAGAGACAAAAGCAAACTTAAAAGTGGGCTTAATTTATGAAAAATGCAATCCTGCGTGCGATCAATTTCTAAACCAAGACAGGCTACTGGCAAATAATGTTGCAAAGATCTCAACAATCCCATTTAAAGTTAATATTTCGCGAATTCTATGGTCGTTACAATGACCTTGTTTGCAAGTACAACATTGTGTAATGTTGAATATTGACTGTTTAACTCAAATTGTTTGGCCATTATTTTATTACTGATTTGTGTACAAATCCGCCATGACCCCTTTGAGGTTGGGTACACGGAATAATCTGACTGATCGACAGGGGACGTTAACTCCTCAGTGGCACCTGATCTCACCTCTGATATTTCCAGGGGTCCGTGTTTGCTCTGATCTCAATCTGGAATTTTTGATTTTTTTTTTTAGCTTGATTGAACTTCATATTTCATTTCATTGTCTTGGAGACAATCCTTTGGACTTGACAGGCATAAAAAAACCTCTTCCAGTGTTGAGTCAAGGGAGAGGGGGTAAGCACTGCATAGCCGGGATGTACAGGCGAGTTTGTTTGCCTGAGAAAAATAGTTATCCACTAGATAATTGCTGTTTTATTTGCTTATGATCTTTACAGTCTTTGAAAGTACAAAACGCCGTATTAATTTTTCCACCTTATTTTTTTTTAATTAAATATATATTTTGGTTTTGCTTTAGTATAGAATATTTATTTTAGGAATATTGGACCCACAGTGGAGCATCATAATTTACAATGTCCAAAGTCATGGATATGTATATATAACAAGAAACAATATTTTTGTATGATGAACAGATAATTAGTCGTCAATGGTAACGATATACATAAAATACATTTTGTTTATATAATTATATATGTATAATGACTATGTTGCAGAAATTAACTTGCTTTCCATATTTGCACCTTGAATTGTACATGTATATTGTTTCGCATAAAACAGCAAACTCAGAATGTTCATTTGACTTAAATCACATAATCCATGCAAACAGTTCAACATTGTTGAGTATTAAATTTGAAACAGTTTTAAAGAGTTTTTTTTCTTTTTTAAAAACTCCCCTCTAGGATTTTTGTACAACGAAAATATTCCAGCAGAAAATATAATTCATCTTTTGTTGAATTTGAGACATAGTAACGACATACTCTTTCACACCTAGGAAGAATTTCATTTTAACATAGTTATTATTATTTTTTGTTGTTGTAGTGTCTGCCTGTTTCTCCCCTTTGGCAATGATGACTAATTCTGAACTTTGTGAGAATTATCCGATTGTCGCTGTTTTTCAGGGTTTTTTTTTGTTTTTGTTTTTTTTCTTTGTTTTGTTTGTTTGTTGTTTTTTTTCCAAAATAAAACGACCCTTTCTACTTAAAATATTTACTTAATTTTCCAAATCCTTGCAAATAGCTGGTAGGGATACCTTCTAAAAAATTAAAGTATGTAAATTTGTTTTCACTTAATTATTTGCAAAGGGAAAAGTTAGTTTTTCAGTCTTTAATGTAAAAAGTTATATAATATAGATTATTGCATGTTACTTTTTCGCCCTCCGTCCATATTCCCCCTCAGTGTCTCTGTCTTGGCTCCATGTAAACACAAAACTGACCAATTTTGTTCATAGTCCATATTTGTACAGCGGTATTGTATGATGATTAATACAAGAACAATTAATTTTAACAAAAATTCAGTTTAAATTCCTCCGCTAGTTAACCTGACTAAAACTCCAATGTTTCATAGTCTAGCAATAGAATTTTCAGTGTATACCGTTTCACCTTCTACTCTTTTATCAACTCCGTCAAAAATAATGTAGACAGATTTGAGGTACATGTATTTTAAATTTTGTAAGCTGTGGATCATACTTTTTAAATTATCCAAAACTTACTCGTTATTGTTGATATCCTGCATTGATTGAAAAAAAAGTATCTAGCAAGTCTAAAAGACACACAAAATGGAAAAGTCGCGTGCATGTTAATGGAATGAAATCAACTTCAAACACAGAAAAAAGGCAAGAAAATGCAAACAAAAAAATAACAATATTTTATTTAACACCTAATTGTGAAGCGTGTCACAATCCATAAACTGGCTTTATTATAGAATTAAAACAGTGAGCAATAGAAAACTCACTACTGACAAATGGTAAACATATACTTCTAAACTTTTTTTTGAGAGGCGCTGATAAACGTAATGGAAACCTTTGTTTTGGCAAGGCATTGTAAAATCTCAAAACAAACATTTTAGTAATGTGTATCACAGGAAAATTGCGCTTAAATTGCAGTCCTTGGACAAAAACTTCCGCCATCTTGTTACTTGATGATTGCTAAAAGCATGCGTTTATAGTCTCCTGAACATTCATCAGCGACATCCTCTGCCAGAGATTTCTCATAGAGTTTCTGATACTCCTCCTTGATTTCCTCTAGGTCATCCTGAAAAGGAGAGAAGGGGGCATATTTCAAGTATGTCAACTGTACCTAAATAGGCCAAAGTTTTACAGTGAATGCATTTTGTTCATAAAAAGAACTAGATAACCGGTTCCCTAATACATTATCTAATATGACGATCGTTTCACTCTACAGATGGCTAGTTTCACTTGTCACAGTGATGCATGGTAATGCACACAGACAAACTTGTCATATAGTATCTACTAATACGGAGATATGGTCACCCCTCACCCCACATAGATATCAGATCACGTGACTTGCCTCACTCCTGGTGACGATGATTCGGATGAGGTCATCATCGCTGGTTCCTAGCCCTGCCATGGCGTCATGTAATCTCCTTGCAAAAAATCTGGGTTTGTACTTGGCTACCTCAACTACAAATACAAACAGATATAGAAGATTAAATTTATATAGATTAGTTGCATTCCACAGGCACTTGTTTCATATACAGGACACCCCCTCCTTCGCGTTTCTGAGAAAGAAGGGGATGCTCTGTATGTACACGAAACAGGTGCCTGTGAGGAATTCCTAAAAATTCGTAAAAAGAAAGTTTTACCAAAATCACTATTTGCAAACACTATATATCGATCATTGAAAGATCTCAACTTTAGTAACTAATTAAAATTAAACCATTCTGGACAAATGTTGTTTACCTATGGCAAGAAATCCATCCTTCAGGGTCCCACTTGTTTCACTAGCAATATCTTCTTCTAGTGGGTTGCCCTTTAATTCCTCATATTTGTAAAATATGGCTCTAAGTTGATCATAGCTCTTTATACATAAAATAGCGTTAATTTCTGCTTCCTCGGTACCAAGACTTCCAGCTCCTGCCTGAAAATTCATACATCAGCTATTCAGTGAGTCACAGCGTGGAAAGAATTCTATTCGTCCTTAAAGGTCACAAGACTGATTATCAACATTTTTTTTTTAACTCTATAGTGGTTGTACCTCGTATAGTTTCTGGGCAGAGTCCTCGGCTTCCGCCATGTCCCAGCCTTCGCTGGGTTCCCTCCCATTGGCACACAGCGCCACCATTAGGCGACCAAAGTAGCCACTGGTGTCGCTCTGGAGGTCCTCTTCTAAGGTGGTCTCAAATTCTGATTAAAAAAAAGGTCAAGTCATCTAGAAAAACTTAGAGTGTTTGAATAGTCTTTTCTACTACAGGGAAACAACTTGATCAGGTGCCTTAAATTACATCTTTATTGATGTAAAAAATATGAAAAATTCAGGAATCGTATTAAAATATGGAATTTTATATTATTAATCTGTACCCTTTTCGTAAATTTCTTTGATTTCTGCCAACTCTTCATTCGTTCTGGACGTCATGATTTCTACTAGGACAGTTTCATCTGTACCGGCTCCCTATGGAGGTTGTACAGCAATCAATAAGCATCAGGCGTAAAAATGCATAAAAGATTTAAATTAAACTGTTATTATTCAAAACGTGATATATAAATTCATTTACGATAATGAGACTAATACTTTGAGAATTCGAAACATTAGAGTTGCCGCCCACTGTACAGCAGATAACCTCTGGAGATACTGTTGAAATGATACTTAAGATACCACTGATTTATCTGATAATTGTAAAGGTGATACAGCTAGCCTGTAAGGTGATACAGCTAGCCTGTAAGGTGATAACGTTAGCCTGTAAGGTGATACAGCTAGCCTGTAAGGCGATACAGCTAGGCTGTAAGGTGATACAGCTAGCCTGTAAGGTGATAACTTTAGCCTGTAAGGTGATACAGCTAGACTGTAAGGTGATAACGCTAGCCTGTAAGGTGATACAGCTAGCCTGTAAAGTGAAACAGCTAGCCTGTAAGGTGATAACGCTAGCCTGTAAGGTGATACACCTAGCCTGTAAAGTGATAACGCTAGCCTGTAAAGTGACGAAATGAAAAAAAAAGAACGCTCACTTTTACCTTGAGTGGGCTTCATGCAATTTTTTTTCAAGACAGAACCCAAATTAAAACAAATTTACATATTTCACATCTTTCACTGTCGTGAAGGTCTTTTGACGTCTGTATATTGCAGTGCGAGCATCCTTTCTCTCCCAGACTAGAGAGTATGAATCCTTACCGAGATCGCTTTGTTTAGTTCACGAGCGTCAATCTCTCTCGGTGAAGCAAGCATCATGACACAAACGTCCTCAAAATTACCACCTAGTTCATCCTTAAGGTCTTCAATCAGGTCCTTACGTTTACAAAAGAAAATTGAAGCAACTTTTTAGGATGTAGAAGTAATAACATTTCACATCAAAATATTGTTTATGATGAGCTTTACTTTTTAGTTTTCACAAATGTAGAAAAAATTTGATTTTGTATTAAACCAATTCTTTATTAGCAAAACAATATCTCAAGACATTTTCTTTAGGTGAAATGTTGCTATACTGAGTTTTCGTAAAAACGTCGTTACACATTTCAATACAAATACAGTAATCGTACAGAGGAACATGGTACTTTACACATACATGTAAGTGTTTGATAATTTGTTTTTTATGTTACCTTTCCATATGCAGTTTTGAATGCTGTGGCGATTTCTTTCCTCTGTTCCCATGAGTGATTCACCAGTATTGATATAATGGCCTCTTCACTCGTACCTGGTGTTCACAAAAAGCATATTAAATATGAGGATTATTAGTGTAAATTTGGATATCTTGCAAAGCAGAGCTAGAGGGTCATATTTCACTAATCATTTTTACGCAAGAAAAAAAATGCATCGTTTTAGATGTTTTGGCGGCTGAAAAGAATGAAAGATGGACATATGTACGAGGTATGAGGTACATTTTCCCGTGAGCTACAAATACGTAAAATGCATCAACAGATAGTAGTGAAGGAATGTTGCCAGAGGGGCACCTGTTTCATGGTCAGACTCACCGAAACCTGTCATAGCCTCGCGCATCCCTGCGGCCGCTGCCTCGGCATCAAACTCCTCTGCTGGATAAATTGTCCCCTAAATGATAATTTGATTGGCACATATAGTTTCAATATACACATGTACCTCTGAATACCTACATTTCTGTTTATGACTTAATCAGTATCAAATGTGAAACTTGTTCATAAAAATTTCGAACATATAAGCATGCACTTTGATATTAAAAGAAAAACAAGGTTTGTTTAAATAGGACCTTAATTGCAGAGGTCTGGATCTTCTTCTTTGTTTCCAGGGTAAAAAATTGGTAAGTCATTAATCCAAAGTACACACATTTATACTTCAGAGTATTGGTATTGAGCTATCTGATACATTTACCTAAATCTACCCTTTAATGCCCCCGTAATCGGAGATTCGCAACATTATGTTTTTGGTCTGTCCGTCTGTCTGTTAAAAACTTTTTACCTTGCATAACCTTTGAAGGTTTAGTGCAAGGGCTTTCATTTTTCACAGGTGCATTCCTTGTGGTAAGACATTACTTTGGGTACCAACATTTACCTCCTCATCCTGACCCTGGAGTTTTCCTATTTTTTTTAAAAACAAAACTTTAAACAACTTACTAGTTAATCTTGCCCATAACTTTTGAAAGGTTAGTGCTACGACTTTTATTGTTCACAAGTTTATTCCTTATGATAAGACCTTTCTTTTGACCTCACGACCTTGTTCTTGGTGTTGACCTACTATTAAAAAACTTCAACATTGGCTATAACTTTGAATGGTTGGTGTTACTAGGGCTTTCATACTTCACAACTGTATTTCTTGTGACAAAACCTTTCATTGGGTCCAACATTTTTGACCTCAAGACCTTGGAGTTTGACCTACTTTTGAATATCCTTAATCTTGGTAATAACCTTTGATTGGTTGGTGTTATGGCCATGTGTATTTCTTGTGACAAGACGTATCTTTGGGGACCAGCATTTTAATTTGACCTTCTGACCTTGACCTTGACCTTAAATAAATCGGAAAAGACAGTATGACATATTCTATTCAAATAACACAGTGGGTGGCCTTTGCATCGAAGCACAGAGTAACAGTACAAGGTGGGCGTCATAACACATGCACTGTGTATAACTGCATATATATACCTTTTATCAATAATCAAATACTAACTTATTAAGCAGTACTGAGCGTGTGTCAGGCTGTAAACCCTTTTCCCCTGTGTGAATCACGGTCTATAGTGACAGTGTTTTCGCCTTGTTATGTCAGAGAATAACATGTTTGACATACCAGGAAAGTCATGCCTAATGTTAATAGTATGGGAAAAGGTAAAAGATTATGTTACTCGAGCGTGAAATAAATCTAATTTGATATTTTATCTTTCCAGTCGATATATCACCATGTATTAGATTCTTTTTGTATGCCCACGCAAACACCAACTCCTGTAACCAACACCCTTGTCTGAGTGTAGAACTTTAATATATTTGTTGAATCAAATTTCGAAGTGATGCTGATAATAAAATATATCAACATAGAATAACTTTTTATTTATACACTTTAAAGGTCATTTAAATCCTCCAAATTGAAATTACAAGTTTTTTTTAACTTTAAAGCGCAATTAAAGAAGATAGAACTATGAATTAAGTGTATTTCAGCACATCCATGCTTAGTTTATAGTTTTGAGAGCAACAGTTTACATGAATGGAACTCCAAAGAAATCAGTCATATGGAAAAAAAAATCTGATGGATTAAACAAATAGATACAAACTAACACAACAACACCTGCCAAGGGCGGTGTCAAATGTAAACAAACATTATCTGGTCAAATATACTGTTCACACCCATGAAAAAAAAATCTTTTTTAGTATTAATTGAAATAATTATAAATTCAATAAGAAAAGCAATATTTACCGTCATCATGTGTGATTCCCCGATCCCTTTCCTAGGTTTAACAAGTGATGGAATGTCCCTCCCCTCTCTTGCCAGACAGAAATACCTGAGTTGACAGGTAAAAAGTCACGTGATAATAAGTGAATCATAAAAGAAATTCATTGATGCTCCATGTGTAGGCCGTGCGCATACTTTCCTTTAAGGGGGAGGTGGTCAAAATATTTTTATAATATTAACATTCTTTATCACCGATCAAACAGGTATCGTGTATATAAATAGTTATTGAGGTGGCCGGGTAAAGGGACGGCGTAGGAGGAATATTTAAACTTATTTTAAAGACAATTTGACATATTTTTTCTAAATACTTGCACTACTTGTGAAGCATGAAAAAGGCGGACCCCCCCCCCCCCCTTTTCCCACACTACACAGCGGCAGTAGTTTTTCAACTGAAGTGATGAAGTAAAACATTAAAGACAAATTGAGCATATTATTTTTATTAATTTATGTAATGTGTGATTATAAGGGTAACGTATATAGTACATTCACAGACCAATTTAAAACAGGTGAGACTGAGTGGGTGTGAAATAGTATCACACGTGTTACAATTAACCAGGCCATTCAGTATTACATGTCGATATTGGTCAAAAAATGAAGTTTGTGACATTGTTTGAATTACACATTTGAGTTACTGTTTGAATATACATTTTCTATTTTCTTAAACATTAATTTTTATGTCTCATGGTCCATTCCGACACTCACCCTCATAAACCTCAAAGTTACAGCAAAAATCAATTTTTCCCCTTTGACTCTGTGAGTTGCCTTCCATTATTTCTAATATTTTGGCAGCATTTTGATCACTGTGCATCAGATGACCTCAAGAAGAAAAACACATCCCAGAGTAGCAAAACCTGTAGCAGTCAATTACTTTGCATTCATCATGCATGTGCACTTGATACAAAGTGCATTCTTATCGATTTGCAAAAATTCGCGTTTGAACTTTGCACCTTTGCACGTCCCCAATAAAAATTAGAAAAACTCAACTATATGTACGTAATTAAGAAAATCCTGTTTAACATAAAGATGCAATGTGTAAGAAAATGGGGCATTCAGTAAAAAAAGAGAAAACACATTGTCCAAAGTCATGAATATGTCATAGCAGGGACCTATGTACTATTATATACGTCCCTGGTCATAGTAAATGATAATGGCGAAGATTTAATTGAGATCAGTTTATGTCTTGCATAACCTTGTCTTTGTTCAGTTAAGACGGTCACTTACTCCGGTTTTGACCAAAAGTGGATCACCCATTGCGGAGATCCTAGGGAGTTGAAGCCCTCTCCCCTCAATGGAGAGGGGGTACATTATTGCACTATTATTTTACAAATGGAACATCAACGTCTCTTCCTCTTTTCAGGGCGACGATTTGTGCAGATCTATTCAAATTTACTGTACAGAAGGCCTAGGGTTCTTGTATATTGATTTTAGAGAATTTGGCCTTGTTTAACTCTTTAAAGTAAATATTTGACCATTTCTAAAGAATACATTTATTAAAGTGGTCATACACATCACAAAAAAGTTCCTATCAAATAATTTTATTGTAAAATCCATTGAAACAGGTATAATTAAAAAAAAACGAGAGAATATCATGAACAACCTCGGTGATACCTAAGTTGTTCTGGTATATACCCGTTATTACTCAGTAGTAACGATTTACATATTAAATAAAAATGAACAAAATTCATAATGCCTCACATAATCAATTCAAGATGATGAAAAGCACAGATCATTCGAACAAATGTCTATAAAAACATCAATAAGACAGCAGTGGGAAACAGAGTATAACAGATACTGCTTACAATGGATGACCAAAAGAAAAGTAATGGATGCATGAGTAACTGATATCTTTTAGTTCTTTTGACATAATTTCTGTATGTTGAATATCAAGTTTCATAATAACAATGACAAAACCTGACTGGGCAAAAATACCCATTTGTAAAACGTCTACCATTAAGGTATCCTTAAGCTAAGAAGAGGTATTTTGTGGTTTTAACCTGACTAGCGCATATTTGGCACATTTGTTTTCTTTTAAGTCTGGCTGCCACAACATTACAACATGCCCTACAGGAAACGGCATGACCACATGGTTGGTACAACACGGAGATTTCATTCTGCCAACAAATCTTGCATAAGGATCGTGTCACTAAAATTTCGAGCTGTGATAATTTTGATTTCAGATCTGAAATCTCTTGTTGTTTCTTCTCCATTTCTTTTCTCAAGTTTTCAACACATTCTTGGCTTTTTTCATACTTATTTCGCAGTTTGGTATGTATTTTCTTCATTTTGACTAAAAACAGATAAAAACACACATATCATTTTAAACATGAATTGGTAATTACCTTAGAAATAAATTCAAGTCAAAATCACAGTTGCAACCCCCACCCCTTCCCGGCAAACAAACAACAAAAACAGAACTTTCCAGTACCTGTTTGAATGCTTTTCTCAAAGAGCTGATAAAATTCAGTGGGGGTTGGAGGAAATCCTGAAATTAAAGTTATCGATATACTAGAAAGTATATTTGACAAAATATATTTTATTAAAACTAAATAAAAACTGTTTATTGTATTTGTCATGTAAGCTTTCAATTCTCTTTATATAAGAACCCTATAGCACTACCATTTTCCCTCCTGAACTCCTGGTAGACCCAGTGAAATTCTTCTTCCTTCATGTCTCTATGGAAGAACGTGACAATATCCCAGAGCTCGGTCTCTGTATAATCAATAGGAATGTTATGCCTGAGATGCAGTTCCATTTTTCTTTTTGGTGTTTCCATCAGATCCTTTATATGATCCAAAGCCTTCATAACAATTTTTGCATTACGAACCAAAGCACCTATTAGTAAGTGAAAAGAAATGTGACCCCCAAAAAATAATTAGGCTCCTCAGAAAATGCATTTGGAAAAGGACTATTTGACTGAATTTAGAACTTACTGTACTTACTGAACTTGTGTAAATACACCAAGGCAGTTGCTATATTGTCCCAACTAATCTCTGGGTAACTTTGTCTGACTGTCTGTATGTAAGGCTGTTCCTTTTCTACTTCCAGATCTATGGACTCCTGACAATGTTTTTGCCTTTTACAGTCAGTATGTTGTATTTTCTTGGTGGTACTCTGAATCCCCTGAATTGTTTCTGTATTTCTGTGTATATTTGTTGAGGAGGTATTACCAGTAGGGGATAAAATTTCTGCTGTAAAAGATTTACCAAAATAAATAAATCTTGAAGACATCTTGATCTTAGCTCAGTTTGCTGGTTTTCAAATTCCCCATGAATTAAAGAGCAATACATAGTATTGGTTAGATATATCTGTTACACTTGCAGTGCAAATGGGATGGAAACGTTTTGTACTTGAGAATTACCTGACCTAGCTGAACTTTGTTGATTTTTTCTGCCACGTTTAGACCGTTTGTGTTTTGATGGTGGTTTATAGGAGGACACAGTTGGTGCTGATCTCCCCCTCACATCTGGCTGTGTGAATCTGAGATTAGTTTGCCACTGAGTATCAGGGGCTCCCATCTTGTCAGTTTGTGTCCATAATACAAAAATTGTTAATACAGACAGACAAGAGGCTGTGCAGACCAAGAACTCGGTCTTATAAGGTAGAAATACTTCCCAAAGGACTGCCTGTAAAAAACACACATTACTGTAACAGTGTCCATAGTCCTATCACTACCTATCCTGTATCATAGAAAAAAATAATGTTCACTTAACGTATATTTATATAGGTAAATATAAGAATAGTTAATATACGTACATGTATATCACTTTCAAAGAATTCACTTAATCACAAAGAAGAACAAATGCTTTTCAAAATATTCAAATGTTCTTTATAAATACATGAATGGAAAGATTTCTAAGTATTTCTTAAAATAATTTTTAAAAAATTGGCAGAAAAAAATTTTTTCTATGAAAACAGTTATGAGTATCCGTACACTTAATAATTACCACATGATAACTTAATTATAAGTAACATACACTTAATATCATAATTACCATGACTTCTGTAATGAATAAACCTGTCCATTTAATATCTATATTAATCATCTCTGTGGAAGTCCCTCCTGAGGAAATATTATAAAACATGGCAGCAGGAAAGAAGCCTCAGCTGTCTGGAAAAGTTCTGTCAATTAAACATATAAAATTTCTAATTTTGCACAAACTTTATACTTTGATTCATTTCAAAAGAATGAATAGACAATATTGGGGGGGGGGGGGACTGGGAATATTAAGTTGCAGAATATTACAAAAATATTGTTCTTGCACCTGCATTCACCTCTTGATATTGCCTTTGATAAACCCGATGGTAAAGGCCTGCATGTTCCGAGGCAGATTATTTTAACTACCCCCCCCCCCCCCAACGCGTCAGCACTGATGACTATATATACACAAAAACAAAAGCCCTGTTACATTTTGATTTTAAATTTCAGTAAGAGATTGCATAATCAACTGTTTCTGTATGCTAAAACCAGAAGTTTAATCAGTTAATTGATGAAATGTGGTTAATGATCGAGTCTTTGCATACGTGTCCTTACCAATTTGGAAATCCCCTAATTTTTAACTGTAAAGCGAAAGTAACATATGTTTATTGAGCGCCAAATTTTAATTCGCGCATCAATGCTCAACAAATTAATTTACACCTCAGTATGAGGACTTATTGAACGATTTATTCAGAGGAATTTAAAATTGCGTTTGTTCTTTTAAAGACAGCAACAATTTAATCAAAGAGATCATCATTGAAATTATGGAAATGGTAAATTGAAGATAAAATTAATTTTCATAACAGTCTTGAAGAATTATAGCGCACAGTGGAAGCTGAAGCTACACCCTTGTAATTTTTCCTCTCTTCAATAATACAAATTATCATATATTCAATTTACTTTTGCAACAATTTTTCAAGAGTTTATAACATCAATTTAACCATAGACCTATTTGCTTTAGACCTGTCTATGTTTTAACACACTGTAATAGTATCTTTGATTGAATTGTTGCTTTCTTTAAAAAGAAGGCACGCATTAATTTTTCTGAAGAAATCAGACACCGAATGAGACACTTAAGGTTTTTAAAAGCATTTAAAAAAAAATTATCTAGCCT